AAAGGCAAAATAATAAAAAGAAATGCCTTTGGAACTACCTCTGAACTAACAAGATGATCCTTCTGGAGATAAAATGTCATATTTGAATGACTTTGTACCAAAGGTGCTTTTCCAAAAGGCAATTAGACTTTCTTGGCTCTTGAACACAAAAGACAAGAAAGACCAGTTGCCTTTTAGAAAAACACTTTTTGGACAGCCATGACCTTAATGATTGAGAATCTCCATAGGCATTTGAGTGACTTGTTCATTTCTATCATGCTAGCAAGTGGAAAATGTGCCATCTATTGAGTTCTAGGTACCTCTATATCACCTGGATAGAAGATGAACAGACTCCTAAGATCAGAAAATGGTGTATGGTGGTAACCTTATGAAAGTCAACAATTACAGCCATAGATTAAAACTTGACTTAGTTTAGCAGAGGAACAGTATACCTAATATTCTCCTAACTCATCTGTGCATGATTGTACTTGTACCCAAAGACTCCAATTGTATCAAAGGAGATTTTCTTACTTTACTGGCTCCCATGATTCCCGCTCAAAGCCCCTGTGAATTGACTGGGCAATAGAGGACTCCATGAGATCGACATATCTAACCACAAGTGGAGCAAAGAGATCTTGGAGATGTTTGTGGTATTTTCCATTGCACAAATTATCTAGAACAAACAAATAAAAGCACAATAAGACACTTTTAGCAGCATTCCACAATTACGCAGTGTAATTTTTATCGTAACCAAATCAGAAGCCCAATCAATAAATGAATCTGCTGTCAATTTCTTTATTCTAGTAATATTTTAATATAAACAAGGAAATAATAGAACCATGGCACTGATTGTTTTTGAGAAATACTTAAGAATCACTTAAGTAAATGTTTGACCACTCAATCAAAAATATTAAGACATTTTTAACATTTAAATTTTTCCCGTTAACAATAAATGTGAACATAAATGTATGTATTTAGGTCCAAGAAGCTCCTCCGTTACAAGTATAAACTGATTTCATTTAGAATTCTAAGATCTCTTGGAAAAAAATTTTTGATGGACCTTTTACATCAATACGGAAAACTAAACAAGAAATCCCCAATTTTTCAGAAAGATTCTGAATCTTAACAGGAATGATTGGATAACTGCAAGTTTATTTGGAAGTAATCCCAGGATATTCAATAGGACTAAATTTCTACCAAATTGATTTATTACCAAAGATTTAAAGTAGTTTAAATTATTACTGCCAACCCACCCAGAATCCCGAGAGATGGGCTTAGGAAATCAACCAAGTATTTTTAGGCAGACTGACATTTGTGTAAGGTGAATTCCTCAATTTTCTCAGAAATCTATTTGTCACACTGTGTTCAATACCCTTTGCTTCCAAAACCATGAGAAAAATGAAAGAAGCCATAATGAATAAAATTAATAATCCAACTCAACTCAGTGATATGAGCCATGGTGGTGTAATGGTTAGAGTGCAGTACTGCAAGCTACTTCTGCTGACTGCCAGCGNCAATATGCTGACTCTGTAAACCGCTTAGAGAGGGCTGAAAGCCCTATGAAGCGGTATATAAGTCTAACTGCTATTGCTATTGCTATTGCTAACCTTTGTTTGTATGTATTTAGATCCCTCAAAAGAAAACCAATGTGGAAAAATGGCAGCAAAAGGGTGAACGATAGGAAGGGAAAAGAATGCCACCCTTCTCCAGGTCTAATACTATCCTTTTGAAATAAATCTGCCACTGGAAGTGACTGCTGAGATTTTATTTCATAATCTGGAAAATAATAGCCCAAAATATTCTCTTTTGGAAAATATTTCTAAATCTCTTTGTTCAAATGTTTATTTTTTCCTTATGTAGAATTTGTAAAATTTCCTTCTGAAATGAAGGTCATTATTAAATTCCATGAATACTAAAAGCAAGATGGCTTGTGGAACTCCTTTCACTGAAATTGCAGAATTACAATATCACATCTCATTGATATTATTGTTAATTAGCAACCACATCAGCTAGTAGTTACCATTCAGGCACAAGAATCAACTGAATAATAGCTACAAGATTTTAATTCCCTTTTTGAAAAAACTGGTTGAATTTCAGATTTGGATTGGATCTTGGGATGATAGTTTTGAGATAAACAAATCTAGCATTCTTATGAAGAGTAACAATTTATTCTATTAACACTTTCTGAACCCAAATATAAACCAAAAGGGTACGCGGAAAACTGCCATTTTGCCATTTTAAAAGAGGGCATAACAATGTATGTATGTTTAGGGAAAAATATGCATTCATGCCCACTCTTTAAAGGACAGGAAACTATAGTAAGAAAATGTTTACCAATAAGTAGATGACAAAATCCTGCAGAATTGTATGCAGCCTTTTTTGTGCTCCTAACCAGTTTGATAACTGAAATGTTGAAAAAATGGGATGAACCAAAAAGAAAAGGTTAAAAAGAATGAGAAACAAAGGAAATTTGCTATTCTCCAGTAATATAGGTTCGGCCTAAGACCAGAAAAGCAAAAATATTTGTCAGTAATATGGAACCTGCTTCCAGTGGCTCTCTCTCTCTCTCTCTTTCTCTTACATGACTGAGTAATACAATTTTTGAAACCTGAGCTGAAAGGCAAAATAATAAAAAGAAATGCCTTTGGAACTACCTCTGAACTAACAAGATGATCCTTCTGGAGATAAAATGTCATATTTGAATGACTTTGTACCAAAGGTGCTTTTCCAAAAGGCAATTAGACTTTCTTGGCTCTTGAACACAAAAAACAAGAAAGACCAGTTGCCTTTTAGAAAA